TTGAGTGCCCTAGGGGGGGGGGGGGGGGGGGGGGGAAATCACAAAGTTACTTGCTTATCCTTTTTTCAATCTATTAAAATCTGCCTCTGCCACAATGCCAACAAATCTCTGCCATCTGGTAGTCATTAAGATGTTGGACTCCTGTGACTACTAATTTATGCAAATATGCCACTCTTACAAGACAAGAGAAATCTCCTTAGGCAGAAAAAATCAGGCTGCTCAAATGCATGTGTTCTCTGCTATATACTCTAGTGAAATGGACCTTCCAGGCAACATGAAGACAACTAGCCTTTGAATGAACCACTGCAGAAAACTACTTGCAGTCTGGTGCAGCACATAAGCAATAAGAAGGAAGCTCTTTGGCTGCATCTGTTGGATGATGGACAACAGCCCGCTCTTAGGTCTGGTGAAGGGCAGCAGAACAAGCAACAAACCATGCAGGAAACACCTCTGCAACAGAGAATGGTGCACCATTCTCTGAAGACTGCATGCCAAATATAGAGCACAACATAGTGAAGAGCTAGGTAACACCACGTCTGGCCCCTGTAGTTGTCAGAATACAAAACAGAGCCACCAGAGATTGAAACAGAAGAAGGAAAGCCTAGTGGGGCTGGGGAGAGAACTGTTCCTCTGCTCCCCTTGGCACCTAAAGAGTTGGTGCATTTACCCACTCAAATGTCTTGTCATAATTTAAAAACTGTGGTCTCCATGGGGCAGAGACTCTTTGCTTAATTCTGTATAAAAACTGGAGCCTGATTTCTGAGTGGAGCCATCAAGCACTGTTATTTACATTAGGCACCAAATACATCCAACTGACCTGTAGGTCACAGAAACAGTCCCAACTTGGAGAGGTGCCAAGTTCCTAGAATTCCCACCAACATCAATGAGCCATTCCCATCTGAACTGTGACATCAATGAGACTGGTGCAACACCTTGCAGGGCCAGACTCTTAAGTCTGTTGTGTTTCTACCAAAGGAGATTTTGTTCAAAGTATGGATGCACCCATACAAACAGTTGTATTCATTTCCTTTTGTATTGCCTCACTGCTCTCCTGCTTCCCTGTGGTCTCTTGTTTTCTACACTGACTGTAACCTTTAATGCAGGAACTTTCTGCTTTCCTACGGTGCTTGACTCAATGGGGTTAGGCCATGACTGCAGTTCCTAGAACCAATGTGGTAAAAAAGTATATTTATTTATTGGGCTAGGCCAGGTGTGGGGCAGAGACAGTCAAAGGGCTGTGTTC